TCATATGCTATTTTTAGTTTCGTGTAGAGTGTGATTTCTGTTTCGTCATGGGATCTATTTTGCCTTCCCTAATCTCCAGCCTGTGCAGGTGCATCCTTTCGTTGACTCGTCGATGTATTTCTTGAAACTCGGCCTCGACGAACTCTCCATCGGCTCCTGCTTTTGTGGTTTCTTTTCTGGTTTCTTTCAAGTCCTTGTAATCATAGCGTGTGTCTTGGATTTCGGTGCTTTGATCAGTGGCTGTGCATTTGTCGACTTCGGGTTTCTGTGCTAACTTTTCTGACTCGGTACTTTTATCAGCCTTGCTAACATTTGGTTTCTTGGCCACTTTGCTGGCGGCATCTCTTTGTCTCTGTAGCAGGCCACGTTCTGCTTTGGCTGCTTGCGCTGCTTCTTCGGCCTCTGAATTTGCTTAGACCAGCTGGGCCACTTTTTTGTAACTAGTTTCTCCTGCTAATTTAAAGTCTGCAAGCTCTTTCTTTCTCTCCTCGCAATCTTCTTGTCGGCATACCTCTTCTGTTGCCTGGGCTGCTCTAAGATTTGAAGTCATTTCTTGGAGGCTTTTCTGCGTGTGTTCAGCTTTTGCTAGCCACCTTGCTTGCCGTGAGACTTGATTTCCAGCAGCCTTGTACTTTTATCTGATGTCAGCTGGAAGTGAAATGCGATGGACCAGTGAATAAAATGTAACAAGCCGCACGTCCCTTCCCTTTCTAATGGCCGAGCACTAGCCATTCCAAAACCACTTAGTTCCCGTGCCCCACCTTTTATTAAAGTGTTATTGGTTTAAGATGATTTATGTGATTTCCTGTTGGATTCTCACTCGAATAGTTGCTCTTTGGGTCGCTAGGTGTTATCATTCTGAATAAATTTATGGAAGAAAAAAAGGGGAAAAAGGGGGGGGGGGGGTGGGTGCATTAAAAACAAAATCTGTACCCACACCATTTTATTTAATCTCCATGCTCAACGCTTAAAATAAAAGACTGCATCCTGTGACGTCACACTGCCCACCGCGTGCCGCCCCCTCACCTAATGCTGTATCTTCTCTAGGTTTTTAGTTTAGTCGTAGTGCCATTGTCAAGTTTTCACATTATCAGTTACAGTTAGGGTTTACCGAAAACTTAGGGCGAAAAAATGGCCGCCGTTCTGGCAACCTGCCAAGCCCCTTTCGTCCAGGAGAGAAAAATTCCCGCCAACTCCACCACTTTCCTGCTTTTACTGAGCCTGTTTGGAAAGTGACCATGTCGGCGGCCAGTCTGTCAGTGACCACTCTGTTACCTTTCTGGACTTGCCTGCCTGGCGTGTGCGGTTCGGAAGGTGAAAACTTGTGTTTGCAGTCTTGGCCATCATATGATTGATTATGTTCTAGTAATTATGGCTTGATATACCGTCTTTCTTAAGCACTGATGGTTATTTTCCACCTAGTTATTAAATGATGTCGTCTTCATGTGGGATGCAATTTTTTTTTGAAGACCCACCCCGGCTTCTGTCGGGGGGGGGGGCTCTGAATATAGCTGTTGCATAAATATGGTATATCCATTGATATAGCCTAAAGGCTGAGAGGGGTTTCTGGGACCTCTCCACGGGTGATCCTCATCCGCATGGTGGCAATTTGTGTCACCAGGTGTTTATCGCTTGTGTGATGGCCTGGTGGAGTACAACAATCTACCTACCTTGTCCAACTAGTTAGTTAAAGAAAAGATTGTCTTTATTGCACATTCACATCGGACAATTCCACAAGGGCTCATTCCACAAGGGCTCGCATCTCATCTTCAGTATATCTCCCCCCCCCCCCCCCAAGAGTCTGGTGACTGATAACACAAGTTGTGTATTGGTTTACCATTCTTCTATTTTCCACCTACGAATGGCTAGTTCAGCTCTTTTGGGAAGTTATAGTGCACATAGCTAAATGTATAACAACACATAGCTACTACAATAAATGTTGCACTGGCAGCACATAATTCTCTGACAGCGGTGTCGATACAAAGAAAACATAAGGTTGGGTGGTGGAGGCCCTCAAGGGCTCTAAGCCTTGTTTGTGATTGTTATTAATGTTCTGAGTGACCAAATAAATAAAAATAATATTATTGTTATTATTAATAATGTATTTGAAATATTATGTGTATAAACAAAAACTTAGAAGATAACTTCTTTACTTGTTGTGTGAGTGTGTGTGTGTAGGATGTATATTTAGCCTTCCTACAATTGTGTGTGAGTGTGTTGGGTGGGTGGGGGGGGGGGTCCGGGGATCTCTCTACCCCCCACCCCACCATGTTTTGGGAGACTCATGATGCCTAAGCTCCAGAGGTTCCAGCATCCCTGTTCCCTTGAGTATCCTGTTGTTCTACAGGGGTGGAGAATATGTGAATCTTCTTCGTCTTCTTCACGTTCACCAGCTGTAAACTCTGGCAAAAAGTTCTGGTTGTTCATCCACTTTTGGACTGAAGTCCTGTTCCAGAACCTGAGTGTTGCGTGTGCATCCGCTTTACAGATCTGACTCATTTGTGTGAAGACTGCTGGTTCCTTGCCTTTCAGGCAGATGCACTGTTAAAATAATTTCTTCATATTTTCTAAATGTTGAGATAATTTCTTCATATTTTCTCAATGTTGAGATAATTTCTTTATATTTTCTAAATGTTGAGATAATTTCTTCATATTTTCTCAATGTTGAGATAATTTCTTAATATTTTCTAAATGTTGAGATAATTTCTTAATATTTTCTAAATGTTGAGATAATTTCTTCATATTTTCTATATGTTGAGATAATTTCTTCATATTTTCTAAATGTTGAGATAATGTCTTCATATTTTCTAAATGTTGAGATAATTTCTTCATATTTTCTAAATGTTGAGATAATTTCTTCATATTTTCTCAATGTTGAGATAATTTCTTCATATTTTCTAAATGTTGAGATAATTTCTTCATATTTTCTAAATGTTGAGATAATTTCTTCATATTTTCTAAATGTTGAGATAATTTCTTCATATTTTCTAAATGTTGAGATAATTTCTTTATATTTTCTAAATGTTGAGATAATTTCTTCATATTTTCTAAATGTTGAGATAATTTCTTTATATTTTCTAAATGTTGAGACAATTTCTCCATATTTTCTAAATGTTGAGATAATTTCTTCATATGTCCTACTTGTATGACTTCCTAATTGTAGATCATAATTTCTTTATATTTCATGAATTTAGCGATAATTTATTTATATTTTCTAGGTTTATAACTTCTTAATTGTAAACCTTAATTTCCCTTTCTTTCCTTTTTTTATGACTTGCTAATTGTAGAGCATTATTTCTTCAGATTCCCTAATTCTATGGCTTTCAAATTGTAGAGAATAATTTTTTCACCTTTCTTTATTTTTTAGCTTCTTAAGTGCATAGCTTAATTTATTCATATTTGTTAATTGTATGATTTCCTGTTCGTAGAGCCTAATTTACTCATTCTTCTTTTGCTTCTGCCTTTCTAAACCCCAGTGGAGCCTAGGAGCCTAGTTATATTGTTCTGTAGTTTTCTCAGCCTGTGTCCTATCCAATGACAGCATCTTTTCTTCACCTCCTGGTCCACTGCAACTTAGTTCTCTCCTAAAACTTTACATTAGTGATTCTATTATACCATTTGAATCCCTTTATTCTCTGCAGGCACCGGTTAATGAATGTTTGTAGTTTATTAGTTATTGCCTTAGTTGTTCTCTACATTTCCACTCCATATAACAGTATTTTCATTTCTTTTGACCTCCACAAATTCCTAATGCTATCAAAGCTCCTTCCCCCTTTTGAATTTGTATTTTACAATCTCTATCAGTTCCCCCATTTTTATTTACATTACTAATTGTTGTACGACTCCACGTCTTGGAGTGGGATACCATTAAGAGAAACCACATTATTATTTGCCTGATTTATTCTCATTATCTTTGTCTTTCCTTTATGGATTTTGAGACCTGGCTGTTGTGATCTCGCACCAAGTATTTTTAATTTATCTTGCATCTGATTCCTAATTGCTTCTTTAATAATACGGCAAAGAGCTTTAACTGACCATGATATATTTGCTGCCAATGTTTAAGCTTTAACTGACCATGATATATTATGCTGCCAATGTTTAAGCTTTAACTGACCATGATATATTTCCTGCCAATGTTTGAGCTTTAACTGACCATGATATATTTCCTGCCAATGTTTGAGCTTTAACTGACTATGATATATTTCCTGCCAATGTTTGAGCTTTAACTGACCATGATATATTTCCTGCCAATGTTTGAGCTTTAACTGACCATGATATATTAGCTGCCAATGTTTGAGCTTTAACTGACCATGATATATTTCCTGCCAATGTTTGAGCTTTAACTGACCATGATATATTTCCTGCCAATGTTTGAGCTTTAACTGACCATGATATATTTCCTGCCAATGTTTGAGCTTTAACTGACCATGATATATTTCCTGCCAATGTTTAAGCTTTAACTGACCATGATATATTTCCTGCCAATGTTTAAGCTTTAACTGACCATGATATATTTCCTGCCAATGTTTAAGCTTTAACTGACCATGATATATTTCCTGCCAATGTTTAAGCTTTAACTGACCATGATATATTTCCTGCCAATGTTGGAGCTTTAACTGACCATGATATATTTGCTGCCAATGTTTAAGCTTTAACTGACCATGATATATTAGCTGCCAATGTTTAAGCTTTAACTGACCATGATATATTTCCTGCCAATGTTTAAGCTTTAACTGACCATGATATATTTCCTGCCAATGTTTAAGCTTTAACTGACCATGATATATTTCCTGCCAATGTTTAAGCTTTAACTGACCATGATATATTTCCTGCCAATGTTGGAGCTTTAACTGACCATGATATATTTGCTGCCAATGTTTAAGCTTTAACTGACCATGATATATTTCCTGCCAATGTTTAAGCTTTAACTGACCATGATATATTAGCTGCCAATGTTTGAGCTTTTATTGACCATGATATATTTCCTGCCAATGTTTCAGGACGATCGGAGCCAATCAGTGTTACCCCTAAACACACAGTGTTGGGAACTCCAACTGTGCCACCATTTCCTGACAACACCGAGACTGCTGTGTTTGGTAACTTCTGTCTTTGCATTTGATATTCTGTATTTGGTAACTTCTGTCTTTGTATTTGATATTCTGTATTTGGTAACTTCTGTCTTTGTATTTGATATTCTGTATATGGTAACTTCTGTCTTTGTATTTGATATTCTGTATTTAGTAACTTCTGTCTTTGTATTTGATATTCTGTATTTAGTAACTTCTGTCTTTGTATTTGATATTCTGATTTTTGGTAACTTCTGTCTTTGTATTTGATATTCAGTATTTGGTAACTTCTGTCTTTGTATTTGATATTCTGAATTTGGTAACTTCTGTCTTTGTATTTGATATTCTGTATTTGGTTACTTCTGTCTTTGTATTTGATATTTTGTATATGGTAACTTCTGTCTTTGTATTTGATTTTCTGTGTTTGGTAACTTCTGTCTTTGTATTTGATATTCTGTGTTTGGTAACTTCTGTCTTTGTATTTGATTTTCTGTGTTTGGTAACTTCTGTCTTTGTATTTGATATTCTGTGTTTGGTAACTTCTGTCTTTGTATTTGATATTCTGAATTTGGTAACTTCTGTCTTTGTATTTGATATTCTGTGTTTGGTAACTTCTGTCTTTGTATTTGATATTCTGTGTTTGGTAACTTCTGTCTTTGTATTTGATATTCTGTGTTTGGTAACTTCTGTCTTTGTATTTGATATTCTGTGTTTGGTAACTTCTGTCTTTGTATTTGATATTCTGTGTTTGGTAACTTCTGTCTTTGTATTTGATTTTCTGTGTTTGGTAACTTCTGTCTTTGTATTTGATATTCTGTATATGGTAACTTCTGTCTTTGTATTTGATTTTCTGTGTTTGGTAACTTCTGTCTTTGTATTTGATATTCTGTATTTGGTAACTTCTGTCTTTGTATTTAATATTCTGTGTTTGGTAACTTCTGTCTTTGTATTTGATTTTCTGTATTTTGTAACTGTCAAAAGGATGAATAATTCCATCACCCAATCCACCCCAGAAACACAAGACAAATACCGAAAACCATGATACTGGGCTACAACCTGGTATCTGTGAGATGACAAAAGAAGAAGAAGAAGAAGAACCATTCACTGAAGCTTTAATTTGTGTGTGTTAGTAAGTAAAGTAAAGGACCTATGCCATGGCTTCGGGCATTTAAGGCATATATTGCTAGAACTATATTTTATACACCAACTGGCCCTCTGCATGTGTTGACTACTAGTATCTGTGTGTGTGAAAATTAGCAACCCTAAATCCTAAGACTCAAAGACCTATGTGGCCTGTGCCACAAAAGTGGTAAATACAAGCAAAAGTGGCATGGATGGGAGGGAGACAGTATATGTTAGAAAGTTCCACCTTCAGATGGATTACACCATAATTGCTTTATTGCTGCGCCTGCACAAACCACACAAAATGGCCATCACTATCGCTTGTGAAAACATTTAAACAAGACTGCAGTCTTGGCAAGTTTTGTGTGTGCTTCTGGCCACATTTTTCTATAGCGTTAACTCCATATGTTGACTAAAAGTATACTGTTCCATCATCCAGCTGCTGTTAAGTGCATGTTGCAACAGTGTGAACTGTATGTGCATGCAAACAGTTAGCTAAGATCCTGTTTATTTTCTTCTAGGCATGGGCTGTTTCTGGGGAGTAGAGAGGAAATTCTGGACACAGAAAGGAGTTTATTCCACACAGGTGATGCTTTATGTCTGTGCAGTCCCTGTGTTTTGTTTGTTTCATACAGGTGATGCTTCATGTTTGTGCAGTCCCTGTGTATTGTTTGTTCCACACAGATGATGCTTCATGTTTGTGCAGTCCCTGTGTATTGTTTGTTCCACACAGGTGATGCTTCATGTCTGTGCAGTCCCTGTGTATTGTTTGTTCCACACAGATGATGCTTTATGTCTGTGCAGTCCCTGTGTTTTGTTTGTTTCATACAGGTGATGCTTCATGTCTGTGCAGTCCCTGTGTATTGTTTGTTCCACACAGATGATGCTTTATGTCTGTGCAGTCCCTGTGTATTGTTTGTTCCACACAGATGATGCTTCATGTTTGTGCAGTCCCTGTGTTTTGTTTGTTTCACACAGGTGATGCTTCATGTTTGTGCAGTCCCTGTGTATTGTTTGTTCCACACAGGTGATGCTTCATGTTTGTGCAGTCCCTGTGTATTGTTTGTTCCACACAGATGATGCTTCATGTTTGTGCAGTCCCTGTGTATTGTTTGTTCCACACAGGTGATGCTTCATGTCTGTGCAGTCCCTGTGTATTGTTTGTTCCACACAGATGATGCTTCATGTCTGTGCAGTCCCTGTGTATTGTTTGTTTCATACAGGTGATGCCTCATGTTTGTGCAGTCCCTGTGTATTGTTTGTTCCACACAGGTGATGCTTCATGTCTGTGCAGTCCCTGTGTATTGTTTGTTCCACACAGATGATGCTTTATGTCTGTGCAGTCCCTGTGTTTTGTTTGTTTCATACAGGTGATGCTTCATGTCTGTGCAGTCCCTGTGTATTGTTTGTTCCACACAGATGATGCTTTATGTCTGTGCAGTCCCTGTGTATTGTTTGTTCCACACAGATGATGCTTCATGTTTGTGCAGTCCCTGTGTTTTGTTTGTTTCACACAGGTGATGCTTCATGTTTGTGCAGTCCCTGTGTATTGTTTGTTCCACACAGGTGATGCTTTATGTCTGTGTAGTCCCTGTGTATTGTTTGTTCCACACAAGTGATGCTTCATGTCTGTGTAGTCCCTGTGTTTTGTTTGTTTCATACAGGTGATGCTTCATGTTTGTGCAGTCCCTGTGTATTGTTTGTTCCACACAGATGATGCTTCATGTTTGTGCAGTCCCTGTGTTTTGTTTGTTTCATACAGGTGATGCTTCATGTCTGTGCAGTCCCTGTGTATTGTTTGTTCCATACAGGTGATGCTTCATGTCTGTGCAGTCCCTGTGTATTGTTTGTTCCACACAGGTGATGCTTCATGTCTGCGCAGTCCCTGTGTATTGTTTGTTCCACACAGATGATGCTTCATGTCTGTGCAGTCCCTGTGTATTGTTTGTTCCACACAGATGATGCTTCATGTCTGTGCAGTCCCTGTGTATTGTTTGTTTCACACAGGTGATGCTTCATGTTTGTGCAGTCCCTGTGTATTGTTTGTTCCACACAGGTGATGCTTCATGTCTGTGCAGTCCCTGTGTTTTGTTTTTAGATTGTACATATCATTTTGTGTTAACCATTTTGTGACAGGGTAGTTAAATGAAAGTGTTGTTATATGACAGGGTAGTTAGTTATATGACAGTGTAGTTATATGACAGGGTAGTTTAATGTCAGGGTAGTTAAATGAGAGTAGTTAAATGACGTGGTAGTTAAATGACATTGTAATTATATGACAGTTTAGTTATATGACCGTGTAGTTATATGACAGGGTAGTTAAATGACAGGAAAGTTATTTGACAGGGTAGTTGTATGGTGGGGTAGTTTTAAGACAGGGTAGTTATGTGACAGGGTATTTATGTGACAGGGTAGCTGTAAGGCAGTGTGGTTCACTGACAGTGTAGTTGCATGACTTTGTTCCCCAGTGCTAGTTCAGCATTATTATACCTGTGTCATCTTTTGTTGCCAGGTGGGATATGCCGGTGGTTATACCCCAAACCCTACATACAAAGAAGTGTGCACTGGACAAACAGGCCATGCAGAAGTGGTCCGGGTGATCTTTGACCCTAGTCAGACCAGCTATGGTGCCTTGCTGCAGGTAATGGAATTAATGTGTTTGCTGGATTGAGCACACTGTTGGTAAATGTGTTTGCTGGATTGAGCACACTGTTGGTAAATGTGTTTGCTGGATTGAGCACACTGTTGGTAAATGTGTTTATTTTATTGAGCACTGTTGGTAAATGTGTTTATTTTATTAAGCACTGTTGGTAAATGTGTTTATTTTATTGAGCACACTGTTGGTAAATGTGTTTATTTTATTGAGCACACTTTTAATAGCAAGAAATGAGCATATCCCCAAGGGCTCGGACATTTGATTAATCAAAACTGTGTGGTAAATGGATGCACGACAAGCTGGATGGTGGAGCTAGTCAACAGTGTGTAGGTAGACACAGGCTATCATGGTCTGAAGAAAATGGTGCAGCAGGTAGCGTCCCAGAGATCTGGCAGATGCTCAACACTCAAAGGAGGGGAAAGGTGGACATACTATCAGACTGTTATAGATGTCACTGGATTGAAACTCAGCCCTTGTTGGTGATGGAGAAAGAGAGTTGGTGGACATATCCCGAGTGACGTGATGTCAGTTCTTGATTCACAACCCAGTTACCACATACTAGACTTTATCAGTCATTTGACACTTCTGGAGCTGTTGAGCAGGAGATCAGAGCAACTGTGGACCTGTATGAAGTGCTGTGATGATAGTCCTCACTCATGACTTGCCAGTGTTAGTCCAGTGATGCTGTGGTGGCACAAGAGGTAGTGCTGTTGTCTGCCAGGTCAGAGTCAGTGTTAGTCCAGTGATGCTGTGGTGCCACAAGAGGTAGTGCTGTTGTCTGCCAGGTCAGAGTCAGTGTTAGTCCAGTGATGCTGTGGTGCCACAAGAGGTAGTGCTGTTTTCTGCCAGGTCAGAGTCAGTGTTAGTCCAGTGATGCTGTGGTGCCACAAGAGGTAGTGCTGTTGTCTGCCAGGTCAGAGTCAGTGTTAGTCCAGTGATGCTGTGGTGCCACAAGAGGTAGTGCTGTTGTCTGCCAGGTCAGAGTCAGTGTTAGTCCAGTGATGCTGTGGTGGCACAAGAGGTAGTGCTGTTGTCTGCCAGGTCAGAGTCAGTGTTAGTCCAGTGATGCTGTGGTGGCACAAGAGGTAGTGCTGTTGTCTGCCAGGTCAGAGTCAGTGTTAGTCCAGTGATGCTGTGGTGCCACAAGAGGTAGTGCTGTTGTCTGCCAGGTCAGAGTCAGTGTTAGTCCAGTGATGCTGTGGTGGCACAAGAGGTAGTGCTGTTGTCTGCCAGGTCAGAGTCAGTGTTAGTCCAGTGATGCTGTGGTGGCACAAGAGGTAGTGCTGTTGTCTGCCAGGTCAGAGTCAGTGTTAGTCCAGTGATGCTGTGGTGGCACAAGAGGTAGTGCTGTTGTCTGCCAGGTCAGAGTCAGTGTTAGTCCAGTGATGCTGTGGTGGCACAAGAGGTAGTGCTGTTGTCTGCCAGGTCAGAGTCAGTGTTAGTCCAGTGATGCTGTGGTGGCACAAGAGGTAGTGCTGTTGTCTGCCAGGTCAGAGTCAGTGTTAGTCCAGTGATGCTGTGGTGGCACAAGAGGTAGTGCTGTTGTCTGCCAGGTCAGAGTCAGTGTTAGTCCAGTGATGCTGTGGTGGCACAAGAGGTAGTGCTGTTGTCTGCCAGCTCAGTGGTCTGGATTCAGTCTTCAGCAGGTGGTGCATTTATTTTGTTGTGTGGACCAGAATGTCTCTTGAGTTGACCCAACCTCATTAAAATTAGTGAGCTAAGAAACCCCTTTTCCACACCTGCAGGCCTAATGGCATATAGGGCTAGACCTTTATTTGATAGACCAGTGCGTAAATTAGAAGATTTGAGAAACCAACATTATCAGACTCATAATCATTAGAAGTTTACTAGTGTGATTTGCATTCGTGGAAGGTGATGGAGCTTAAGTAGCTTTTAGAGCATTCATCAGCACACGGTTGTTTCTTCTTTTTCTTCTTTATCTTCTTTTTTCATCATAAACCACTGATACCATTAAGCATCATGAAAAAAGGAACAGTTTGCAGTCCAGTGCATGCTAGCTGCCACTGACTATTGTCATGCCATGAAGGCGTAAAGTATCTTTAATGTTGTCAGCCCAACTTTTTTTTCCTATTGTAGCTGATTTTCTGAGATGTCGTGCCTATCATAATATTTGAATTTGCTGCATTCTTCTTTTTGGGTTCGCCCTGATAAGGGTGGTTGGCATGTTATGTTGCGGTTTACAGCTAGGTGGGCAATCAGTATCTACACCTTTTAGCCCAACACATCCCTTTTCAGCAACTCTCTAGTTAGTTGCTTTTTACGGCATGCTTGCTAGGGAAGCAGTGGCTCTATCAAACCCTCTTCCCAATTCACTAGAACTTATAGACTAGGATGGCCCATGGAGGAAGTGCCCTACGCATTATTACTGTTTGTGCCGTGTGTGGGAACCAACAATCTGCATACAAATTAGTCACATCTGTAAAATGGATGTGCATATGACCTCCCCACTTTCATTGGTCAATGTCTTGTGAAACTGGTGGAGAAGTTTTCCTAACAAACTTTATTAACAGATATAGATACACAAAAATGGTATGAGTGGTAAAGGAGCAATGATAGTCAGCTTTTGTTGAGGACTGTATTGTTCAGTGTCATTATCATCTTTGTTAAATTGAATTTATTTCTTCTTGTTTTCTCGTCAAATACTTTAGTAGCCAGCAGCAGTTATTCTGAGTTTCTTGACATCTCCGTTGAGAAGTCATCTTTTTCTTTTTATTCGCATTTGCTGGCTGTAACGTCTGGTGAAAAGTTCCTGTTTGTTGGGGGGAGGGGGTGGGCAGTGGGTTTACCCCCCCCCCCCCACTCCACCCACCCACAGTGGAGTCACAGAACTCACACAGGACATTCAAAAGTAACATTGGATGAATGCTAAGAATTGCTCCATTGCTCCAGTCAGAGTGCATCTGTCTGAGAGACAAGGAACCAACAGCCTGCTTACAAATGATCCAGATTGTAAAAATTATGTTCATTCAAAACTCACGTTCTGGAACGAGACTAAAGTCCAAAAGTGGATGAACAACCAGAACTTTCTACTAGAGTTTGATAGCAGGTAAACGCCAAGAAAAAGAATAAATAGCACTCACAGTCGATTTCTCCATTTGGTTCTTTCATGTGAAGTTTGTTTTGATATCGTTCGTGGAGTCTAGTACAGTGTCTGTGGCCTCACATCTGTGTTCATTGTAGACTTTCTCTTGGGCATTAGCATTTCCTCAATCGATTTGTTGCTCATTTCAAAGTCTGTTTTCTGATTTGTCTGTCCCCTGATCTCAGAATGGGCCCAAAATAGTGCCGTGTACTTTGTCTTTTAACTGTTGATACCAAAGGTTGTCCAAACATTTCTCTGACTTCCTAATCTTTAAATTCATCCATTTTATGTTCTTCATTTACCTCCAACTATTTTTAATTTTTATAATTCTTCTTCTTCTCTTCCACCATTTAACTCAGCAAGGTATTGGGGGAGATGTAAGGATCGTTTATGTGCTTTTTCCAGTGCTTTGTACAAGTTGGTGTTCATTTTTGTTAGGTTGCTCTTGATGATGTCACTCCATCTCTTGCGTGGTCTTTCCCTTGCTCTTTGAACATTATATTTCTTCAGCATGGCTCTCTGTGACAGTTGGTACCAGGGCATTCTCATCAGGTGGTCTAGTTTGTTTTTCTTAAAAGAATTGTATGACTGGTTTAGTCTTAGTCTTCTTATAATTTCTTCATTCCTGATTTTCTCTCTTTTTGTCACACTGGCAACTCTCCTAAGACATCTCATGTCTCTTGTTACAATCTTTTGCTCATTAGTTGTAGTAAGGGTCCATGTTTGGCACTGGTAGCACAATGTCGGCCAAAAAACCGTTCTTATAAGATTTGCTTTGGTTGACAGAGGTATCTTTCTATGCACCGGAAGTGGTTTTAATTGTCCCATAACCTGATTTGCTATCGCACATTGTATGTTGATTTCTATGTCCATTCTTCCATCTGAAATGAAAAATGACCCTAGAAATTTGAATTCACTTGTTTGTTTAAAATTTTCCAATGCCTTTAATTATTATTTCCTGTCCTCGCCATGGGGGTGCCAGGGCCTCATTGTGGGGAAAACAAGAATAGACCTACTGCCCACCCACCAAGCGTATCGTAAGAGTCGACCAACTGGTGGCATCCAAGAAGTCGAAGTGCATCTTCCTGAAGGACAAGGACCCAGCTGTATGTAAAATGAATGTGCATGCAACACTGAAGTTTTTTAACAAGGACTAAAATCTGGATGTGGATGAACAACCGGAACTTTCCCCTGGAGTTTACAGCCGGTGAATGCCAAGAAGAAGAATCTATGTCATTGTGTTTAATCGTTTGTTTTTGACTGTGAAACTTTATTTCCTTGTTCTCAGTTTTTTCTTATATTTTTGATAGCGTACATTTATTTCTATTTTATTGCAAAATATCTCTTACTTGTGCAGGTTTTAAATGTTGGTAATTAATACATTTCAGGTATTCTGGGAAAATCATGACCCTACACAAGGTAATCGTCAAGGCAATGATAGAGGCACACAGTACAGATCAGTGATTTACACGTACAGCAAGGAGCAGCAAGCCGAGGCCGAGGCAAGCAGGGATGCCTTCCAAAAAGCCTTAACAGAGGCAGGCTTTGGAAAAATCACCACAGAAATCGCACCAGCCCCGGAGTTTTACTATGCTGAAGATTATCATCAGCAGTATCTGGACAAAAACAAGAATGGCTATTGTGGACTTGCTGGCACTGGTGTGAGTTGCCCTAGGGGTGTGTTGAAGAAGTGATTAGTCTTCCTGATTCACACTGTCCCAGTAGATAACAGCTGACACCCAGATAAAGGAAGTCCAGTCACAAAATGCCAGCTGTTGGGGAACTGTTGAAGCCATTGAAATAACCTTTTTTCTATTGTCAGTGTCTGCTTTGTGCTGCTAAGGGTTGCACTTGGGTGAATCAAAGGTAGCCAAGCCTGTGTGTGCTCTCTAGTTTGGCATACTTTAATATGGGGGTTATCAAACTGTTGGTGACTCCTGCAGTCCATTTCCTCTAGGTCTTCCTCTACGTTTGGATGTTTCCATTTTCATGTTTTATGCTCTTGCTACCAGCATCTTTGGGTTTATTCTGCTAGGGAGCTGAGCCAATTCAGTCATGGTTTCTCACAGTTCATTGTTTCTTCTTCTACTTTTTATCTATGAACGGAATACAGGCCATCAACCAACTCACACCAAGACTTTTATAGACTTGGTCATGACTGGTTGAGTTCTGCAACTTGCTATGAGATAAAGACATAAATCTGATGTCAGCACTCCTTAATAACTTTTTTAAGACATGCATGGTAGGTCACAGTGTTGCTATTCTTTGCTTCCCTTTTAGTCCTGGTAACACACGCTTAGGTTCTTGCCTGATTGAGTGGATACAATAAGTCAGTCAGTAAAAGTATGCTTTTATTATACCGGTGAAGCTGTACACATAGTACATAATATAAGAAGTAAATCAGTTATTTTGAGTGGAATATAAACAAGAGGTAAGTCAGTTAAGTGGTGTGAAAGATAAACAAGTAAATCACTGGTGTTGAGTGAAGTATAAAGAAGTTAATCAGTTGTGTTGAGTGCAGTATAAACAAGTTAATCACCTGTGTTGAGTGCATTATAAACAAGTTAATCACCTGTGTTGAGTGCATTATAAACAAGTTAATCACCTGTGTTGAGTGCAGTATAAACAAGTTAATCAGTTGTGTTGAGTGCACTATAAACAAGTTAATCAGTTGTGTTGAGTAAAGTATAAACAAGTTAATCAGTTGTGTTGAATGGAAAATAAATGAGGAGTAAATTAGTTTTGTTGAATAGAATATAAACAATAAATAATTCATTTATCTGGAGGGAAACATAAACAAGTAAATCAGTTGTGTTGGGTGAAATATGTACAAGAAGCAAAACAGTTGTGTGAGTGGAAAATAAATGAGAAGTAAGTTAGCTGTGTTGAGTGAAATGTAAACAATTAAAAATAGAGGTCAGCTGTGTTGAGTGAAATGTAAACATGTACATAAATATGATGATACCAGTTAGGTTGATTTGTGTTTATTGTAACTGAAATTGATGAATGTGACTGCTTCAGTGTGTAGAATAAAGATGTTCAACACTTTTTACTTGTGTACTTATTGGTAGTTATGTCTATTCACAACCTTCTGTCTCCTGTACTTTTAATCAACTCTAATGCTGATGATCCTCCATGCCATGATGTCAGATCAGAGTGTGCATGATGTCAGATCAGAGTGTCCACGATGTCAGATCAGAGTGTCCACGATGTCAGATCACAGTGTCCACGATGTCAGATCAGAGTGTTCGCGATATCAGATCACAGTGTCCACAATGTCAGATCACAGTGTCCACGATGTCAGATCACAGTGTTCACGATGTCAGATCAGAGTGTCCACGATGTCAGATCAGAGTGTCCACGATGTCAGATCACAGTGTCTACGATATCAGATCACAGTGTCCACGATGTCAGATCACAGTGTCCACGATGTCAGATCACAGTGTCTACGATGTCTGATCAGAGTGTCCACGATGTCAGATCACAGTGTCCACGATGTCAGATCAGAGTGTCTACGATGTCAGATCAGAGTGTCCTGCATCTATTCTCTGTGATATATTTCAATGCGATAAAACTCGAGAACTTGGTGATGGCAGCCAATATTTCTAGAAAGAGGACAGGGTGAAAGCAAAGAGATAAATACATTGTTGGCTAGCACCTGCTTGGGAGGTACAAGAGCACCACCTGACTTACTATTCTGCTGTTCGTGTAGGATGGTGAATAGTGACCACGTATAATTTTCGACATGTCACATGATGATGGTGATATTCAGGGAGAGAGTGATCGGAGACAGAGGTTGGGGCGCTGGACAATTTGTCACTGAAAACTTAGTTGTAGGCCAACAAGAGTTTGGGACACACTGGTCTAGTTCCATATAGCCAATGCACCACTGGTGTGTAAAAGGGCCTTTCCTGGCTTGAAGAAATCCTCTATTGTATCTGTTTCACTATTATATGCATTCCGTAATTATGTTGTGGTGGAGGCTCTATAGGATCAAATGGACAGTGCAAAAGAATGGATAGGGAATCCATACACTGAAAGACTAATTTAACGGCGAGTGTGTAGAGGTTTTGGGAGATGTTCAACATTAAAGGGGAAACAACGGACTAATAATTATGTTGCAGCTGGTACTATTAGAATGTCAACTGCCCGGCTCTCTAGCATAGTTAGCTAAACCTGACTATGCAGCGACTGGGTGACGAACTCCTTGTGGTCAGGGTTCACTCCTGGGGGTAGGCAGAAAAGCCACATTTCCTCCACATTTACGGTACCTATCATGATATCCATAATACCGAGCCAAAGGGTTAACAACTCATGGTTTCTAGATATAAAAAAAAAATTTCAGCTCTTTGTTGGTTACTGAAGAAGGCGTGGGAGTGCATCACACCCTCCATCTCCATGTGGGAGTACATCACACCCTCCGTCTCCGTGTGGGAGTACATCATACCCTCCGTCTCCATGTGGGTGTACATCACACCCTCCGTCTCCATGTGGGAGTGCATCACACCCTCCGTCTCCCTGTGGGAGTACATCACACCCTCCGTCTCCATGTGGGAGTACATCACACCCTCCGTCTCCATGTGGGAGTACATCACACCCTCCGTCTCCATGTGGGAGTACATCACACCCTCCGTCCCCATGTGGGAGTACATCACACTCTCTGTCTCCATGTGGGAGTATATCACACCCTCCGTCTCTCCATGTGGGAGTACATCACACCCTCCGTCTCCATGTGGGAGTACATCACACCCTCCGTCTCCATGTGGGAGTACATCACACTCTCCGTCTCCATGTGGGAGTACATCACACTCTCCGTCTCCATGTGGGAGTACATCACACCCTCCGCTTCCATGTGGGAGTACATCACACCCTCCGTCTCCATGTGGGAGACTCAATTTGTTATTATTTTACAGCCTACCCCGTCTCCATGGGGTAATCGGGGGCCCTAATCTCACATTTGAACGAGGTTTCATGGGATTTTTATCCAGGTATTCTCATCCGGATAGTAGTACTTTGTGTCACTGGGTGTATATCGTTCGTTGTGCGGTCTTGGTGGGGGTAGTACACACACTCACCCTTTCCCATTTCCATTTCAGACACAAACACACAATCTTGATAAGTAAGGGAGAGAGGGGAGTTAGAGTTGGAAAAGCCACATTTCCTCAACATTTACAGGTACCTATCATGATATCCATAATACCGAGCCAAAGGGTTAACAACCATGGTTTCTAGATATAAAAAAAAAATTTCAGCTCTTTGTTGGAGTACTGACAGAAGGCGTGGGAGTGCATCACACCCTCCATCTCCATGTGGGAGTACATCACACCCTCCGTCTCCGTGTGGGAGTACATCATACCCTCCGTCTCCATGTGGGTGTACATCACACCCTCCGTCTCCATGTGGGAGTGCATCACACCCTCCGTCTCCATGTGGGAGTACATCACACCCTCCGCCTCCATGTGGGAGTACATCACACCCTCCGTCTCCATGTGGGAGTACATCACACTCTCCGTCTCCATGTGGGAGTACATCACACCCTCCGTCTCCATGTGGGAGTACATCACACCCTCCGTCCCCATGTGGGAGTACATCACACTCTCTGTCTCCATGTGGGAGTATATCACACCCTCCGTCTCCATGTGGGAGTACATCACACCCTCCGTCTCCATGTGGGAGTACATCACACCCTCCGTCTCCATGTGGGAGTACATCACACTCTCCGTCTCCATGTGAGAGTACATCACACTCTCCGTCTCCATGTGGGAGTACATCACACCCTCCGCTTCCATGTGGGAGTACATCACACCCTCCGTCTCCATGTGGGACTCAATTTGTTATTATTTTACAGCCTACCCCGGGTGTAATCGGGGGCCCTAATCTCACATTTGAACGAGGTTTCTGGGATTTTTATCCAGGTATTCTCATCCGAATAGTAGTACTTTGTGTCACTGGGTGTATATCGTTCGTTGTGCGGTCTTGGTGGGGTTGTACGCCACACACTCACACTTTCCCATTTCCATTTCAGACACAAACACACAATCTTGATAAGTAAGGGAGAGAGGGGTTAGAGTTGGTCGGCATTCATTTCACACCTCAACAGAATCCCCGAGATTTTCTTTTACGTGCCTAGCAATACACACGGGCGTCTGATCTTACTACCCAGAGACCAGGGACGAAAAGTCCCCCCCCCCCATCCCCACACACAAATCCCCAACCTATATTAGTGTCCCCGGCAACAGCTAGGGTGGGGTTTTAAAATAACGAGAAGTTTCATCCCACAAGGGGGACGGGGATTACAATTCTATGTGCTTTTAAACGCAGACGTACATTGATCGCTATTCCCGCACCTATATTTATTTAAAGAGTGCATTTGTTCTAATCTGAAACATGCGGTTAACACTTGCAGGACTGAATTGTTCCATTGGTTTGTCACAGTGACCCAGTTATTTCTTGTATGGCGAATCTAGCCAGACATTTCTTAGGCATTTTCACTGAGTCACTAAGTATGCATGCGTGTGTGAACTCCTGAATGTTTTCTCCAGACACCCTTTAACAATTTCAACAAGCCATCTACTTCTCTTGTAATAGTTTGCTGAATATTGTTTAAAGATGTAATTTCTAAATACATCGTTGCCCTTACACGGAGACATTTCAACCATGCTATTATCTGTCGTGAAATGATAGCCATTACGCA